GGTCATGGGTCAAGAAGACCAGCCTCCAAGGTGCATTTTCTCCACCCCACAGTTGTTCTGTGCTCTCATCATTTCTGCTCCTAGCACTGGGGCTCGTTCTAGGCATCTCTTGGCCAGAGGAAATTTATTTTCTTAAGTGATCCAGTCTAAGAGTCCAGTAAAAGGTAACGTAGCTATGTTCTGTATAAATGATGTAAGATCCAGTGGCTTGATCATGACTAGTTGCCTTTCCCCATACACACCGAGCCCAGGTTTAGTGAGATATGGGTGGGAAGCAGGACTCTGCCCGTGAGGAAGGCTCAGAGAGATGGGACAAGCACAGAATGAAGTGCAGATGATAGACCCAGCTGCAACAGGAGGGGAACGGGACAGAGTGCTGGGTGAGGCCTGGACAGGACAGCGACCCTCTGAAGTCCGCCCAAGGGGAGCATGGCTGATAGTGGTAGGTAAGGTAGGATCTCCAGGGAGACGAACCCTTGAAAAATATTTGTCATGGGAGAATCTCAGGTCTAAAAATTCAGGAAGTCCTAGGAACCTCAGGCAAGACAAAAATAAAAACCATTTAAAGACATGTCATTAAAACCCAAAGATACAATTTTTTTTAAATATTCTAATTTTTTTAAATTGTCCCTGATAATATCATTGATGTTTATAAGAAATAATTATTTGCTTTTAAAATTGTAAAATTGCTTAGAAAATTAAGTGACAAAGTATTTCAGGATTTAATCAGTGTCACTCATTTTCAACTCGTGCCCCACCAGACAATAATATTTTGTGAGGCTTTGTCTTCTTTAGTGGCTAAGAGTAAAACAATAGGGAACTTTTTCCCATTTTCCAATATTTCATTGTAATAATGTCCCTTTTTCAAAGTCCCCATTCTTCTCCTCCCCTTCTCTTCCCTCATCCCACCTTGAAGAGAATTTTACATGAACCCAGTGAACACCCTCTCTTTGAGCATTTTTACTTTAAAGATACCACTTCCAAGATACATCCGTAAATTGATATGTAAATAACAGGTTATCCTGGCTTTCTGTCAAAGGTCTTCTTAAAACTTCTTTTTATTAACTATAACATTACAAAATGTTATTTTAATATTCTGAAGTTCCAACTTAACTAATACAGATTTGCCCCCCTCTTTTGTACAAATGACTTATTCAGGGACCAATTTTACTTCCTGTGTTTCTCGAGCTGAGTCAAGTGTGGCCCACAGAAGCACCCCAACCCTAGCACATACGCAGATGGTTCTCTTAACAGTCCTCGAAAACACCAGACGGTTCTTTTCAGATCTTATTTTCCACCCTATTCCTGTGACTAGCAACACAATCCACACTATTCTAAACTAGTTTCGGTAGCTTGTTTGTTTTTACTTTGCTTTATTTTTGTTTTTGTTTCTGTGGTACTGTGGATTGAGCCCGGGCCTCATACATGTGACCAAACACTCTGCACTGCATCTGCAGCCCTATTCTTTTTTAATTGTTATTTTATTTTAAGACAAGGTCTTGCTAAATTGTGCAGGCTGGCCTCCAACTTGCAATCCTCCGGCCTCAGCCTTCCAAGTAGCTGAGATTACGGATGTGCACCACAGTACCCTGATCTAATTTTGTTTTTCAGAAAGAGAAATTGGTACTTTTTGAGTTTCTTTCAGTTCAAGACAGAAGCTACTGTTATATAGAACAGTGAATCCACAATCCCTAGAATTCCAGTCTCAATATTATTCAAAAGAAAAGTGAACAATCCTGTAATTATCTTGTCATTCAGTTTCTTTATAAATTGCATCAACTACACGAAATACATTACTCACAGGACTGGAAGGATCAAATAAGTTGATGCATGTAAAAATACTTTGGAAAGCATTAGGAAAATAAATAAATAAATAAATAAAAACATTAGAACTGGCAGAGTTCAGAGAGAAAAAAAAGAAATATGCATTGCAAACTATTATTAAAATTACTAATATTTTTAAGGACCTGAAGTTGAGGATCTTTTTGGTGAGAGTCCTACAAAGCATAACGTGTTGTCATTCAAAAGCAAACTGAAATCCTGCATCGAGTTTTAGTGTCCACATTGGTTGTGTCACTATAATTGGCAGAAAAAAGCTAGACCCCTCTACCTAGTGACATCAATGTCTCCATTAGACAGTGAGATGAGTTATCTGGACACTCAGCGATCACAAAGCACAGCAAGACTGTCAACCTCAGCGTACATATTTCATGGCATGCGGTGCTGTATTCGGTGGTTCCAACACTACATGCCATGCCCCCGAGAATTTCCATCTCTGTCATGGAATTGTCATGATCACTTAGCCTGAACCATCACTGAAGCAGAGACCACACTTGAGATTAAACAAAAATGGATTGTGAAGTGTCCTCTTGAGGTCATTACTGATATCTTTAGCAAATAATGCTGGTGTCTTGGATATCTTATAGAGTTTCAGAAAATAAAAAGCAACCTCTGTATTCTAGAACTTCATCTGAAATTGTCTTCTTATCCCTAGGGATTAATAATCCCTCTGCCTCCTCGCTATTAAGGATGGCAACGGCAGCTCCCATTCATAGGTCCAGACTTTTGTCATCTAAGCCAAACATAATGGAAATACTTACACAAGTCCACAGCTGGTCACTTCTTTGTTTTCACAGTCAGACATTAATAAAGCTGTACCTAAAGTGCTTTCTAAAACTTTACTATTGAAGTAATCTATAAATCCCTTTTAAATGGGTCTATCTTACTTCATTGACTTTTATATTTCCTTAAAAATGCTTTATAATAGAATCTTATAAATTCAGTTAAAAATATAAACTAGGTCCTGTAAATCAAATGAAAACAGTAGACCAAGTTACAAATTCCAAACGGGTTTATAGTCCCCCTTCTCTGTTCACTAGGCTAACATGCTGTCTTCTGTGACTTTGGACATGATTCTCCTGAATCATAAGCCACATGTGACTATTGTAGCATTTTGTAATTCCCTTAAAAATATCAAAGACTAGTTCAAATTGTTTTATTTCTATGACTATAATGAATTTACCATTATTCAGACTTTTATCTTTGCCCTAACATTCAAATGTCATTGGGTTACCTATTCCAACACTTCTTCAATTACTCCAAATTGTTAAGAGTTCATGAAGCTATTTTTGTCACAAAATCAAAGTATCTCTTGGTTGAAAAGGGTATTACATTCTTCTGTATTCATCTGACATTTTGTTGAACCTCTCCTTTCATGCCAGACACCTAACTAAATAACATTCGTATGTCTTGCCTTATTTAATCATCTTGGTAGCTTTAAGATACAGATATTATCATCTGTATTTTGAAAATGAAGAAACCAAGACTTCCAAGAGTTGAGTTTTGCATCCAGAATCACATGGCTAGTAAGAGGTCAATTTAGGGCTGGAGTCCTGGGGCCTGACACCAAGCCTAGTTGCCCACCCCGTACACCAGCTCAGTGTTTATTGTGCTGCCCACCAGGGACACCAGCTCGGTGTCCTCTTTGTAACAAACTCATGGACCAGATCCAAACTGCACTGCCAGAGAACGAGCGACCACACGAGGTAGCTCACTGGTATCTGAACATTTCCGACGCCTGGAAGGTTTTCCCTTATCCTGCACCCTGGTCCCCATTAGGGATGGAGGATATTTTCATGAGAAAACAGTGGGTATCAGGGTCAGGTCCAAATTCCTATGCCTTTATGAACTCAGGAACATTGATACACCTTCAAGATCCCCAATTTAAGGAGACAAGTAAGAGCCCATAACCTAAGCTTTGGACGCAGGAAATACTTAAGAGTTAAAAAATCCTAAACTCTCCTTTACTGAAATGTAAATGGATCCAAAAACTAATGTGCTCACGTAGTCACTGATCCAGTTTCAGGTGCTGTTCTTCCATTGCCCTAGAAGGTCTCAAAGGAGTACTGCCCCTTGTTAGCTGCCCAGTGCGTAATGGTACTTAGCGAGATCCATGAATGCTAGATGATGCCTCTCACCCAAGTTGATCTCAAATAACAAGATGTTTGTTTGCATAGTTAAAGGCACCACCATGCCCCATGGCTCTGGGTAAGGGTAGCCAGGACTTCTCTCTGTGCATGTGTCAAGACAGAAATGACATGAGGGACCCAGAGAGTCTGACCAAATAAATTCTTCTGACACGAGAGACCACTTTAGATTGCTTTATAACAAAGAAGGTGATTTGCAGGGTAAATACAGGCCATGCCCTGTGAGTTTTCTTACTGATGAAATTCATGCTTTGAATCACTGATTGATGGCCGCTGAAGGACAGCAATCTCTCCATTGCTGGTCTGGAGATAGCGCTATGTGTAATGAGCTTTTGATGATTGAAACCCTAAAATCCAAACAAAACATGAAAACAATCAAAATAAATCCCTATGTCCATTTTTTAAAGGAGATGGGAGGATAGACCGCTGTCTCCTTACATGTTGTACAACTGTTACAAAGAAGAATTCAGTCTGCAGTTAGGAGCGTGGGTCTCGGTGTAGCGCGAGCGCCCTCATTACTGCTGCACAGCGGCGCTCTGATCACAGCATGAGCTTTCCTTCCCCTAGCCAAAGGATAATGTAAAAATTATGACACGAATAAAATATTTATGCTCTAGACAAGAGTAAAAAAAATCACAAAGCAGGACATAGCCTACAAGCATGCTGGAATCCAAAGCAGGCATCCCTCCCTTTTTATAAAACTAAACTGAGTGGATAAAGAGCTGCCCCTGCCCAGCTGCACCCCTGCCCACTGAAGGCCCAACCCCACCCCATCTCACACAAGTGCACACACACACATTCCCGCTACCAGAGGGCATCCACCACCATTGCAATGGGGAAACCATTGATTTTTCAAAATTAAACTTTAGAGAATCTCTGACTTCAGATGGAAGAAATTGCAGAAGAATAGAATTCTTTGAGAAATGTGCTTCAAGTCCAGCGACTCTGCACCCAAAATCATTTCCTCTTAGTTACCTGACTTGTTCATCCTTTCCTGTGATCTAATGAGGAATTCTACTAATTAGGGTGTCATCTGCCTAAGCAGAGGTGGGTCTGGGAGGATGGAGAGCCTATCACTCATGGACCACAGAGTATGGGTGGAGTCCGGGAGAAGGGAGACCCTACCCAGAACAGCTGTTCTTAGGAAGGGCCACTGTGCCTGAGGGAGATGCTGGACAGGCTCCCAGGAGGGGGGTAAGGTGACTTCCGTGAGGACTGAGGGGAAAGCTCTTTCATAGAGACTGCTAAGGGCATGCCAGGAAGGGAGAGGCAGGCAAAGGTGCCCTCTTTCCTCTCTGCCTGGTGCCCAGAGCCAGCTGCACTGGCCAGAGGGAAAGTTCTCCTTCCTTCTCTGGCAATGTCCTTGCTACCAAGATCCAGAACCCAAACTAATTGTATCAGTGCTATCATGTGACTGCATTCTCAAATAAATCATCTTTACTCATTGATTCACCCTGGAATACTGTGCTATGAGAAAATGTATTCTGAGTTCCCAAAATATATGTTATTTTAATGTATTAACCATCGTTATGTACATAGTTTTACATGTGTGTGTGTGTGTGTGTGTGTATATATATATATATGGAACATTCTTCCTTGAAATCACTTGGTCTTCGCACCCACCATTTTGAAATACTGCTTAATGTTTCACATTGAAACTAAATATTTAATCATTAATATTACTTTAATGTTAATTCCTGTTTCCCTCAAAATAGGGAAACTGATTTCAGTTTCTCAAAATTATTTCCGATTTTTTATTGATCATAATTCTGCAGTAAGTGTATCCATGAATGACATCTCAATATTTTATATTGTAAGAGGGTACAAAATACTCCCGGCCCTGCACACAGAGCCAACCTGGTTTCTCAGGACACACACACACACACACACACACAGGATGCCCTTCTCGAAGGCCATCACCAGTGTTGGCTTTCTTTATTTCTATCCAAATAGACAAAAACAGTTCCTTGTACTTTAAGTTGGCACTTCTTCAAGTTCAGGGAGGACATGTATTCGAGGGAGGTTCTGGCAGCACTGATTCACTGATGGTGGGAGAGGCCCCTGGGGCTGCCAAGAGTCCTCACGGGGCCACGTTCAGGATGGTGAAATCACCTTCCAGCCCTCAAGTTCACCTGCTGGTGTCCCGGCAGGGTCAGGAGTGGAGATGCCAACCCTCACAGAGTTCCTAAGACACAGCCCGAAAATGAACTTCTGGAGCAATTGCTGATCCTGTATCGAAATGTAAACTATGTATACTGTCTAACCCAGTTATAGAAGACCTAGACTGGAGAAATCCCAGGATCAGAGACATATACATTCCCAAGAATGGCCTTCACAGCAGTATATTTGTAACAAAATGTAGGGTCAAACTAACTGTCCCTTACAACAGGAATTATTGTTAATTGTGCTGTATAACCACTAGAAAGAGCAAGACATATTTATTCACATAAGATGTCCATGATATACCATTAAGCTTAAGCAGAAACACAGGGAAAGCACCCAGGTTCTCAGAAAGACAAAGTTGAAACAGAAGAATCAGCTCCAAGTCTCTGTAAGAAGCTTGTCTTCTCCTGAGCCCTGCAGTAGGTCAGCTGCTGAGGGCCTCAGAGGGCAGAGACTTGAGTTTACTGTCTGGATGGCTGGACCCCAGGACAGCCCCCAGAGGGGTACCCGATTTATCATGGGAACTGAGTGAACAGTCTCATGGGGCTTCCAGAATCCCAGCTGCAAATCTCTTGAGAGGAACATTAGAGCATCCCTCTTTGAGAAAAATAGTCATCCTAGAGAGAAGTCCAGCAGATACAAATGGGCAGGCCTGCGAGCAGGCTGCTGGCCAAGGTGCAGTGCCTCAGCCTCAAGAGTCACCAGTCATTGACTCAAGTCTCTGACATGGCAGAGACCAAACAAACACGAAGTTTAATTACAGGTTTCAAGTTGGCTGGATGAAGAGTCTCCAGGCAGCTGGGAAAGCATGACTTCTGGGTGGTTTGAGGGTTTCTGCAGAAGAGATTGGCCTGGAATCTGCACTGAGAAGGAAACACTCATGGCTGGGCATAATTCAGTCGGCTGAGGACCCAGCAGATCAAACAGGCAAAGGTGAATTCACTCCCTCCCCCGGAGCTGGGAAACCTCTGTCCACCTGTGGACACCAGAGCTGCAGGCTCTCCAGCCTGGGACCTCGTGGACCGTCACAAGTGGCCTCCAGGTTCACAGGCCTTCAGTCTTGGACTCAGAGTTTCACCATCAACTTCCCTGGTTCTGGGGACTTCAGACGTGGACAGAGCCACGCTGCCACATCCAGCCTCCATCTTCAGTGAGGGGACTCCTCAGCCTCCATGATCCTGTGAGCCAATTCCTCCCCAAACCCAGGCATACATGCACAGAGCTCCATCCTGCCGGCTGTGTCTCTCTGGAGAACTGAGACTAGTACAAAGGATTTAACAGAAAGATAACATTTGGACAACAAATTCTTCCGAAAAATAAATAAAAGAATGTCATTCATCTTTTCTGTTCCTGTTACTCTATAACAATGTGCTCCCAAAACTTAGGGATTGAAAACAACAGTGATAGTTCCATTTATTTGTAATAGTTTCTGTGGATCAGGAGCTTGGAAGAGGTTTATTTGGGAAGATTTTATTTTGTTTTGTTTGCAAATGGGATGCATACATGTATTTATTATGCACATTGGGTCAAACAACAAAGCCCAACTGTAGCTGTATACCATAAATATAGCTAAAATAAAATGTTTCAGATCTGTGAAAGGTAAAAACTAAAGTGAGAATGAAGACATACTAATTAGGAAAGAGCCAAGAGTAAGAAAATATGAATTGTGTTATTTTTTATTACTTTTTCTTTGCTCTTTTTAGATATGCATGACAGTAGGGTGTATTTTGATACACATACATGGAGTATAACTTATTCTAATTAGGATCCCATTCTTTTGGTTGTACATGACGTGGAGTTACACTGGTCGTGTATTCATATAAGTTATGTCTGATTCATTCTACTGTCTTTCCTATTCCCATCCCCCTTTCCTTCCCTTCATTCCCTTTTGTCTAACCCAAAAACTTCTGTTCTTTCTTTCCCACCTTATTATATATTAGCACTTACATATCAGAGAGAACATTCAGACTTTGGTTTGGGGGATTGGCTTATTTTTCTTAGCATGATAGTCTCCAGTTCCATCCATTAACCAGAAATGCCATAATTTCATTCTTCTTTATGGCTGAGTAATGTTCCATTGTGTATGTATACCACATTTCCTTTATCCATTTATTTGTTGAAGGGTACCTAGGTTAGTTTCATAGCTTAGCTATTGTGAATTGAGTTCCTATAAACATTGATGTGGCTGCATCACCGTAGTATGCTGATTTTAAATTCTTTGGGTATAAACTGAGAATGGGATAACTGGGTCAAATGGAGGTTCCATTCCAAGGTTTCTAAGGAATCTCCAGACTGCTTTCCAGAGTGGTTGCACCAGTTTGCAGTCCCACCAGCAATGTATGAGTATACTTGTCCCCATATCCTTGCCAACATTTGTTGTTACTTGTATTCTTGATAATTGTCATTCTGACTAGAGTAAGTTGAAATCTCAGTGTAGTTTTAATCTGCATTTCTCCAATGGCTAAGATGCTGAACATTTTTCATATATTTTTTTGACCATTTGTATTTCTTCTGTGAAGTGCCTGCTCATGCACCTCAGGTAAAGCATTAATATCCAAGATATTTTTAAAAAACCTCAAAAACCACCAAAATAATAATAATAATAATAATAATGATCCAACCAATAAATAGACAAAGGAGCTTGGGAGAGTTTAAAGGGCCAGCTCTGACCTGCAGTCCTTAAGGGGATTTCCAGCAAGACCTGGAATTGCTGAGAGCTTCTCTCCCCTTCCCGTGCCCTCAGGTCATCTCAGGGCTTTTCCCTGTGGTCACCCCACATGAGCTAGTGGGGACAAAGCAGGCACCAGACTTCCTTCTGTCACCTGGCCTCGATGACCATGCAGCCACATTTCTGCCACATTTTCTTGGTTCAAGCAAATCTCCAGCCACCCAGATTCTAGGAGCAGAGCACTAGACTCTACCTCTTGAAAAGGCAGGAGCAAGGCTCTGGGAATGCTGACTGCAGGAGCACCCCGATGTGGGTGGGCACCGGTGGGTGGGCAGAGGACTCGGAACAGGAAGGTGAAGGAAAGGCCAATTGCTGTCTGTCCTGGAGCCGGGACACTCTACCCAAGGCCCTTGGACATCAGGACTCCAGGTCCTCAGGCCTTGGCACTTTGGAGCAGTGGGAAGTTGGGAAGGCAGAGCAGGGATTCTGGTGTGTTTTCAGCCTTCTGGAAACATTCGAGTCTGTAGATGATGGGTGCCATGAATCCATAAGTACTGACAGACGCCTCCCTAAAATGATTGTTGGAGAATGCAATTAAAAATATAATAGGATAAAGTGATTTTTATTCCTCTCCCTCAAAGCCAAATGATATCAAAAGGAAGGAAATAGATGACAAAAAATAAGTTAATCTTCAATGAAACGTGGACATAGCCAT